CGTCTTGTTCTCGTTCTCGTTCTCTCTCTCTGTCTCTGTCTCTCCATCTGTTTCTCTCTTTTTCTGTCTCACACTTTCTGTTTCTCTCCCTCCCTCTCTCTTGTTCTCTCTCTCTCTCTCTCCATTTGTTTGTTTCTCTCTTTTTCTCTCTCACACTTTCTGTTTCTCTCCCTCCGTCTTGTTCTCGTTCTCGTTCTCTCTCTCTGTCTCTGTCTCTCCATCTGTTTCTCTCTTTTTCTCTCTCACACTTTCTGTTTCTCTCCCTCCGTCTTGTTCTCGTTCTCGTTCTCTCTCTCTGTCTCTGTCTCTCCATCTGTTTCTCTCTTTTTCTGTCTCACACTTTCTGTTTCTCTCCCTCCCTCTCTCTTGTTCTCTCTCTCCCCCCCTCTCCATCTGTTTCTCTCTTTCTCTTTTTCTTTCTGTCTCTCTCACACTTTCTGTTTCTCTCCCTCCCTCTCTCTTGTTCTCTCTTTCTCTCTCTCTCCATTTGTTTCTTTCTCTTTTTCTGTCTCTCACACTTTCTGTTTCTCTCCCTCCGTCTTGTTCTCGTTCTCGTTCTCTCTCTGTCTCTGTCTCTCTCTCCATCTGTTTCTCTTTCTCTTTTTCTGTCTCACACTTTCTGTTTCTCTCCCTCCCTCTCTCTTGTTCTTGTTCTCGTTCTTTGTTCTTGTTCTTGTTCTTGTTCTCTCTCCTCTCTCTCTCCATCTGTTTCTCTCTTTCTCTTTTTCTTCATGTCTCTCTCACACCTTCTGTTTCTCTCTTTCTGTCTCTCCATCTGTTTCTCTTTTTTTCTTTCTCTCTGTCTCCCTCACACTTTGTTTCTCTCTCCCTCCCTCCCTCCCTCTCTGGCAGAATTGAATCCTGTCCCCTTCCTTCCTCCAGACCCAATGCTCACGGAAAGAAATGAAATTGCAAATTAATCTCATCTGCTTTAATACTAGCTATGAACCACCGGAGAGCCAGCCTAAACCACCACGAGGCAGTTTCAAACTCTCGGCGCTTTAGAAAAGTCACTTTTCTGAAAAAGCCAAGCAACTGGGGGGCGGTGGTTGAAGATCTCGGGCTTTGCCATATAATCGTTTCAAGCGGACCACCCACCCACACAAACTCACCCACAATTACACAGCGGGACCAGGAAAGGGAAACGAAAGGGGAGCTTTGCGAGGTAAAAGAGACACATCCCAATGCTTAAAAAGAAGAACTTCCCCTCCGACTCCTTCCCGGCCATCAAAAGCCCCCGGATGCTTTGAGAGCCTCTGCGCTACGGTTAAAAGTACACAGGTGGAGCCTTGGGGTGCAAATGAAAACAAAATGCTGGGCCACAGGCCCTCTGCATCGCCTGAAGGGCTTTATGCGGGTGAACGGAGCCATCTTGACTCCCCGGTGATCCCCTGGCTTAAAGGAGGCAGGAGACGGGCCTTCGGGCTTGAGAGGTAGCTCTGCCAATTGATGGCTCAGGCTGGCCTCAAGGTCCCAAGGTACTTATGGAGGAAAGTTTGTCAACCGTGGCAACTTTAAGAAGGGTGGACTTCAACTCCCCAGCCAGTTGAAGTCCACCCATCTTAAAAGTTGACAAACACCACTAGAGAGAGAGTAAGGAAGATGCCCTTGGAAGAATGGACGATCCCTTACCCTCCTGACTCTCTAGCGGGAGAAACTGGCTTACAAACATGGTCAGTTTCAGCCACGGATCTGATGCCGTCCTTCCATCCTTCTGTTTTGCCATCACAGTCCAGATACATTTGCTCCCCTAGTCACAACATCTGGCTGATCTTATCTGGATTCAGGGCCATCCTTGGTCGGGAGACGACCAAAATCCTCTAGGAAAAAACGTAGAGTTAGGCTTGGAGTCCGCAGGGGGGGGGGCTTAAAAATAAGTCAAGGTGGCCGCTAAGATGGCCCGATGGACACGCCACCCATTTGTGAGATGTGCTACGCTCCCGTAGAGACGGGTTCTTCTTTGCCTCTCGTCCTATCTCATTCCCATCTATCAAAAAGCTGCTGGAAGAAGGCATGAAGGGTCCTTGGTGGCCTCCGAGCCTCATCGTTTTCTTGCAGGCATTTCATTACCAAACTAGGTAACGTCATCAGTGATATAGTAATATATGGAGAGTATTCAAATAAGGATATAACTTAGGATAGTGATATAGAGATAGGATTTTTTGTAAATAGGATTGTTGTGCAAAATATGGGTATGGAAAAGCTGTTACAAGTGTAAATTTGTGTTTTGTCTTTTAAATGTTGGAAAACATAATAAATACTATTTAAAAAACAACAACACAAAAAGCTGCTGGAAGGAGGAAGGAAGGGTCCTTGGTGCTCTCTGAGCTTCGTCGTTTTCTTGCAGACATTTCATTACCAAACTAGGTAACATCATCAGTGCAAGGAGGGAGGGAGGTTTGCTCTCATTTTACATACTTGGCCTGTCAAGGGTTGGTGGGAGGGATCTTGGCTGTTCCTGGTTGGAGTTCGGGTGGCTGCTTGCTATTGCCTTGTTTGTTCCTCGCTCGGAGTATTGTTTACCTCTTGATTGTAGGTCGAGTGTTAATCTTGGTGTTAATCGATTTCTGGTAATGAGGGTTTTCTTGTGTGTCTTTTTGTTTTCTTTTGGATTGTCTCTTTTGAACGGCATGTAGATGAAGTTTATTTATTTGTATCCCACCTTTATTATTTTTACAAATAACTCACGGCAGCAAACATACCCAACGCCTCTTCCTCCTCCGGTCCCGTCAGGTGGGCTCCCTTGAGGGCGAGCGACTGGCCCAAGCTCTCTTTCATGCCTACGGCGGGACTTGAACTCACCATCTCCCACTTTCTAGCCTAGCACCTTGACCACTAGACCTGGGATGGCGAACTTATGGCGTGCGTGCCGCAGTTGCCGGAGCCCCAGAAAACAGCCTGAAAATAGTCTGAAAAACAGCCAAAAAGGGCCAAAAACCCAGACCATTTTCGGGCTGTTTTTCAGCCATTTTTGGGCTGTTTTTTTTCCGGGCCAAAAACAGCCCCCAAAACGGCCTGAAAACTGGCCAAAAACAGG